CTCTGTTGGACAACTATGTCAGAAGATTTGAAGACCATTCTAGGTTCAAGCTTCTACTGAATCCTCTCCATTATATTGATACTTTGCAAATGAAGTCATCAACAATTCGTGGGGGTGTGATGCTAACTGAAAGCACTACTCTGTTAGAAGCTTGGTTACTCAAGTTGGACTTAATCTGAGCTTCGTCTTAACGCAATCTGACCATAAACAATTGACTTAGTTGGAACAGGTGAAATGAGTTTTTGCTTTTAAACAAATCTCTCATGCGTAAAATCATAGGTACAAGCTAAAATATGTTGTTTAAATCAATTTTTCAGACTTATCTTAAAACTTTTGTGGTTGTTGCATGCATTGTGTTACCATAGTAACTTCTGTACATTCCACCATAGAAATACATCTAGTACACCCCCGGCCTCATGTCACTCCTAAGTATCAGCAGCTTGATTTGAACTTTAGAAATGTCTCAGGCCTCAGTGCACTTGGTGGGATTAACGGATTTGTGGTTTTCTGTACCCTTTTGTCGAGCAGGAGCAGCTAATCAAGAAGCTATAGTTTGGGTGGACAGCAAGATTTTCTCGTAATGATGAATCTGTTTCATAGCTTCAAACAGCAGCCCTCTCTTTTTTATTGTGTTTGTCAAGTTTTATTAGGCATTGAACATGTTTTATTTCGTGGAAAATCCAGAATGATCTTTCTCTGTAGTATTTAAACAGATTTATAACGGTCTGACTCCCACGCCCTCCATCACACCTCAAACTTGACCAAACGTGATCGTCCAGTGAAATGAAGGAGCTCACCTATCATTTACAAATAAAATCTAATTAATCTCACCTAGAGATGCATCGATACTAACACCGGTATCGGATATCGTGCTGATACTGAAAATTTTGTTGGATTGCGCGTTGGTTCCTTGATATCGGTTCAGTCGATATCGTGATTGGGCTTTTATTTGGATGTAATAAGACGATTTACAGTCTGATTTTGGCCTGGAACGTCTCGTAATGTTTGAACTTATATTCATACAAAACTGCTCACTAGTGATTTGAAGGATAAACAACAGTTTCAGAACACAATTGGATCTCATGTATAATAAGTTAACTGTGTTTTAAGAAAATAAGAGTCATTTTCCACCCCTACACTTGCATCGGTCAACAACTTCTGGTGCAGTTCCTGACACTGGGCTCACCTAACATGGATCTATTAAAACCGACTGTGATAAAACCCATTGAAGTAAATGTGATCAGCGGTAAAATGAAGACTGCATACGTATGGGCTGTTTGGAATCATCTTGAATTTGGCATCTCATCTCTTCTAATCGCATGTACCCAGTGCGCTCGGAGTTGTGCGTCAGTGGGGAAATGATGAAAACTGAGGTATGGTTGTAACTGAACATAAAGGAACGCTACAAAGACATGGAGATGAAGAAAAATGGGCCTGGGAAGTTGTAATCGCATCTTTCCAAACATCTTCCTTTGTGACGTCTTTCCAAACATCTTCCTTGGTGACTTAAGCATGAATAGAGCCTATATCAGGTACTGGCAGATACTTAAAGTCAAAGTATTGATTTCAGTATTGGAACTGACAAACTATTGGTATTGGTGCATCCCTAATCTTACCTCAAATGATCAGAGTTTAGTGCTTTGCTCATAGATTCTGCAGAAATCCATGATGTGTTTCAGTCCCGTGATATTTTTCTGATATTTTTATTCCGATATGATGCACCATGTTTGTAGCCTGTTTCATCTTCGTGGAAACCGTCTGACCTCGCAGCAGTAGGCATCATTCGCTTGACGGTAGGCGGGTACTTTTCTATTTAACCTATTACTGCTATTTTGGGCTAACTGGTATGTTAAGCTTTTCCCAAATCCCGTAGGAAGAAGGGCAATAACGTCTTTCCCCTTGAAAAAATTCACCAAACATTCTCTTTGTTCCGGGTTTAAATCCTCGATCTCGGGAATGGTTGCCAACACAGAATGTCTGTCTTCGTGTACATCCATCTCGACACTTTGTTTACTGTTGTGCTGTATCGCAAAAAGAGACCCAGACAGACGCTTGAGTTCACTGATTGGGAGGTGCGCGGTTTACAACTTCCAGGATTCCGATTTCTGACCTAGGCGCTGGAGAGAAATGAAATTGAGCGGAGGGACTAGGTGGCACCAGCCTGGATACCAAGCGTGTCCTTGATTGGTTAACCCACCTGTCAGTCAAACTCATCTGAAAACAGGGAGATTCACCATTGTCCAGACTCATTTAAGTGTGTATTCTGGATTTAATTAAAGGTGTTTTAATTACAGACCCTAAATAATGGGTTTCAAATGACATAATAACATTTTACAGGCCAATATTATTTAACGCAGATGGGGGGCAACTAAAAGTAATATTGTTAAAATGCAAAACTATATTGTAACTGGATTTAGTCAGTAATTGAAAATACAAGCTTCAACGTTTATGAATTTACCTTTTGGATAATTCATGACAAAGTAAAATGTAATTAATAGGGAAAAGTGTCCCTTGCCCCCCGCCCCCTCCATCTGAGAGTATCACATCTTTGCCCTTCAGGATGGAGAAGCTTACCACGCATTACCATCATATTTTTATACACTCAGTCTCAACAGGATTTTTTCTTTTTTGCTTAGTAGCTCATGCAAAGTCCCTAAGTGTGCTCCTAATGTGTGCTTCTTATTATAGCCGCTATTAGCCCCCGTGTGATGTCATCAATCCAACACTCGTAATACTCATACTGCGTGACATCTCCTCTCTGTCTTTTCTTATGAATATGGAATGAATGTGGATATATTTAGCATAATCTATTCATGACAGCTTGTTGGAATCGTCGGTTTTTGCATGCGTGAAGCCCTGTCAGTTCGTACAGTAGCAGAGGTCAGAGTGTACCGTTATGCATATGTATTTGAATGCGTCAGGGTTATCGTACATGGCCAGCAGTGACTCAAAGGAAACCCATGTGCATTGATGGAGAAGTGGAATTACTCACAATTTTGATTCAGACGTTTTTAATTAATCATGCAGGAAGAATTAATGGTGCAAAAAATAAGAGATTTGACCTGTTCAAACATTAAAGGTCATCCTCACAAACAGACCTGGAGTTGTTTTGAGTAATCCTTTATTATATAGTTTGACAATATCGACAGCTAAAAATGCTCTGTTCACCCTGTGATGTCATGAAGTTCTAGTTTTGACATTAACAGCCACCGTTTATCTTTAGTTCTGTAGAAATTTTATTTTATTTTTATTTTATTTATTCAATATTTTACCAGGTAAGTCAGTTGAGAACACCTTCTTATTTACAATGACGACCTGGGCAAGAGTCAGTATAAAACAGCACAAACAGAAACCATTTACAAAACAACTATAACCTGAAACAGTGAATAGAGATATAAGACAGTGAAACAATTGCAGATTAAAGATAAAAGTGTGAAAAACATGTGCAATTATCCGGTAAAATACTTTAGATGGAGTTTTTAAAAGTCGACAGAGGTAAAAACGAACTAAGTGGGAAATGGGCAATTCCAGGGCTCAAATCATCCAAATTACTCTATTGGAAGTGTATGAAGTTTAAAAACACAGTTTTAAAAGTTTAAAATCACTATTTTGATTCAGACTTTCTTAATTAATCATGCAGAAATGATTAATGGTACAAAGAATAAGGGATTAGATCTGTCTAAATATTAAAGGTCAAATATTACGTAAAAATCAATTCTTATGAGCTTCAAGGCATGTTCCAATGTACATCCTCACAAACACACTTGGAATTGTGTTTTTTTTCTTTCCTTTATAATCTGTACGTCTCCAAAATGCACAATCCTCTGTTTCACTTTATGATGTCATGAAGCTGTAGTTTTGACTTTAACAGCTCCTTTTACCTTTAGTTCTGTAGAAATGGGCAATTCCAGGGCTGAAATAATCTAAATTACTCTAGTGAAGGTGTGCGAAGTTTAAAGACACAGTTTTAAAAGTTTAAAATCACTATTTGATTCAGACTTTCATAATTAATCATGCAGAAATGATTAATAGCACAAAAAATAAGAGATTTTGACTGTCCAAACATTAAAGGTCATAAAATCGATTCTTGTGAGCTTCAAGACATGTCACAAACAAAACTGGAGTTATGTTTTCTTTCATTCACACATGTTTGACTAACCCTTTATTATATAGTCTGTACATCTCGACAGCTCAAAATGCTCTGTTCCACCTTGTGATGTCATGAAGCTGTAGTTTTGACATTAACAGCTCCTTTTACATTTAGTTCTGTAGAAATGGGCAATTCCAGGGCTGAAATCATCAAAATTACTCCAGTGAAGGTGTATGAAGTTTAAAAAACACAGCAGACACACAAGGTCGCGCAGAGAGTTTTCAGTTTGAGAGAAGAACTCAGCCTAAATGTGCGGGATTTATGTGTTAAACATGTGTGACTGAAACAAAACACAACTCCAGGTCTGTTTTTGATGAGAAAAATAGCTTAGTATGGACCCTTTAAAGTATATATACCACATGTCATGTTACAGGACATAAAGTGAATGCAAAATCATAATGATTTAATGCCTTGTCTCTTGAAGTTATTTAAATTCAGCCCTTGACCTTGTGTGTTATCAGCTCCATGACACTCACATGCTCAGAGGGTTCTATTATCTACAGTCTTCCTATTGGATAAACTGAAATTCATTTGATTGAATAAGGGAATATAAAGTAAAAAAAAAATAAAGATAAAATTTAAACAGTGAAAGTATTTTTTAAAAAGTGGCTACCTACTGATACCAAAATTATGTCTGTCCACCACAGCTAATCTTTAAGTGCTTTTTGTAATAGCATTTTTTATTCTGTCTGAATTCTTAACCCTGTATTTTGAAGATCATTTAAATTTTCGTTGAGTATCCTTTCTGAAATATTACTTGCATATTCCAGTCTTGGTTGGATTCTCCTTGACTTGTGAGTGCTCTGTAGACGTGTGCTGAGTGTGCGTGTGTCTTTCTCTCCCCCTACAGGCCGTTCATGGTACTGCCTCCCCTGATGGAGTGGGTGCGTGTGGCTGTGGTTCACACGGAGCACAGACGCAGTTTTTCAGTGGACAGTGATGATGTGCGCCAGGCTGCTCGACTCCTGCTGCCCGGAGTCGACTGTGAACCGCGCCAGCTCAGGTAAACAGACTCTGAAGCCAAACACAACACAAAACACAGGTCTGAATGTTTTATACTATGATTCCACAACTAAAATCAAAAAGACCTTTGGAAATTCAGAACCTGTCTGCCATCACTTTTGTTCATTTTAAAGGTGCGCTGTGCAACTTTTTTGTTGGGGTTCTGTCACCTGCTTGTTTCTATAGATATAGCTTTTCTCTGGAATGTTCCACAGTGTGACATTAAACAGATCTACCTTACATTTATTCAGTTACAGATGCTTTTATATAGCCTGATTCATCAGCCAGTTTCACTTCATGGAAACCGTATGACCTCACAGCATTAGGATTTGTTCGCTCGACAGTAGGCGGGTACTTTTTTTATTTAAACAATCGCTGCTATTTGGTCGTGATGTATGTAATGCGCTCGAACACTATCCAAGTAATTACTGGCACAACAGCAAACAAAGCAGCGAGTGAACGTGTCTGTCAACGATCATGTCATTTCTGCGAGATGAAATTGCAAATTAAAGGTGAAATAAAAAATGCGAAGTTTGTATTTGACAAAAGAAGTCCAAAGGAGGATAGTGTATGCAGTCTGCTATCACGACTCGGGTTGGTTCAGCTCTTTGATGATTGGCCGGTGCGCGGTCTACAACTTCCGGGGTTCTTGCAAACTGTCTAGTGCAGGGGTCTCCAACCTTTTTCCTCCTGTGAGCTACTTTTGTAAAATGAAAATGCCAGAGAGCTACTCATTTTAGCAGTTGCTAGACATTTAGTAAATGTAAGAGCCATGATAAGCTGTAGATGAGGTACAGTTAGATTCTTATAAAACATAACCCACCATCCATTTATCAGTGCACAAAATTAGCAATCAAAATGACACATTTACAATGGAAATAGGCATTTAATCAATCAAATTTGAATTATTCAGCACAATATGTATAATTCCAAAGTCCCTTGGTGAGCTTCTTGGAAGGGGGTGGAGAGCTACTGGTAGCTCTCGAGCTACAGGTTGGAGACCCCTGTTGTAGTGTATTTTGATTCCTGACCTAGTTGCTGGAGAGAAATGAAATTGAGCAGAGGCAATAGGTGGCGCCAGCCTGGCTAGCTTCTTCAGATCTGACCTATAACTTGGTCTGGTTTGGTTTCTATGAAGATAGAAAGGTTTAATGCCATACTGTGAAACATTCCAGACAAGGCAATAACATTTCCATGAAGAAAAGCACTTAACGGACCCTCACCTTGATGTCATTAGTTAGAAAGCTAGTTTTTCAGTCGCTGTCATCGTTTTTGTTGAAAATCAAACTCATAAACAAGACCATGAATGTTTGTATTGAAAACAGGCTCCTGGAAATGTGCTGTTTAAATCCATTTTGTGTTTTTTCTTGAGTTTCCAGAGAGTCTTTTGTGCATTACTGCTGAACGTTGCTCCATAGAAAATGCACAACAAAAACATGCACAACAGGTCAAACTCTCCCGGCATACTAAACAAACTAGTGTATCTGTACTGCAGTAGCTCACAGTTCCTCACAGACTCACCCGGCGGCATTTGGTTGAAGGATGGAGCGAATGCAGAAAAAAAACATCATCTCTTTCTTTTGGAGGACTAATAAAGGAGAACTCACCTTATTCAAATTACATTCAGTCTTTGATCACAATTAGTTAGACTTATTCTGCGGTCTGAGTCGCCCTTGGGCTGGGAGAAATGTGTGTCTGCTCCAGTGACCACCAATCTCATAATTACATAAACAGACACGTACACACAGCCAAGAAGAGTTAGGCCCAAGGATTCACTGAAAGTCTGCAGCTGGTTAGTGGGCTAGTCATTCCGGGATTATATTTCTGCTGCAAACAACTGAACAATTTAAAGGTCCTATATTACACAAAACTGACTCTTATGAGCTTCTAGCCATGTTATAATGTTGTTACCTCCTCAAAAACAGACCTGGAGTTGGGTTTTGTTTCATTCGGATGTTCGAGTAAACCTTTATTATTAGTCTGTCTGCATCTCCAAAGCTCAAGATGCTCTGTTCCACCTCGTGATATCATGAAGGTTAGAGATTTGCAATTCCCAAACTGAAATTATCCAAATGATTTTAGTGAACAGAGGGAACATAGTGTCTTCAGTTTGATAGAAGAGCTTGGCTTAAATATGCAGGATTTGTGCGTTGAACATGTGTGAATGAAACAAAACACAACTTCAGGTCTGTTTTTGATGAAGAAACAACATTATAACGCAGAAAATCGCATAATGGAGGCCACTTAAAGGTTGTATGGAGGATTTTTTTTTAGTTTCAAACTGTCAGTGAAAGATTAAAATACCATTAAAGGGACGTAGCAGCTTTGTAATTATGATGACCAAAAAATAAATAAATAATGAAAATCTATCAACTGTGGACGTGTTGAGGCCAGATAAACATCAGCCAATAGAAAACGAGGCTCCCTCATTTTCTATTGGCTGTTGGGTTGTCAATCAAACTCCCTAGTGTAACTGACTCGTCGGAGCGCAGGGATTACGTGGTTTACGCAGCGGTTCTTAGAGGCTTTTTCGAACTGTAGCTTCCTCGCAGTTCGCACAAAGTTTGTCGCGACGGCGGACGAGAATCCATGACCGGTTCGCCCCAAAAGAAAGTCGGTTTTTGAGGTCGCTGAAAGAAGAAGAGAAGAGGAAAAGGAGCAAAGCCAAACTGAGGTGATTCTTGGAGATCTCATCCAGCGATGGCGCGACCGAAGCAGACGAAGGGTCTAAAAACTGACGCGTCGGTCGCTGAATTACCTCTAAACAGGAAACTTCAACAGTAATTCTGAATGCGCACAAGGACTGTCGCTGTATTTCTCTTCCCTTAAAAAAATCCTCTATACAACCTTTAACGTAAATAATCCCTTTTATTTATTTATTTATTTATTTGTATTAATGAACAAAGTGCGCTCTCACTCTGAGGCACTAAGTTCTGGAACAGTCTCCCATTATCAATAAGCCTGATTCATCAGCTGGTTTCACTTTGTAGAAATCTTCTGACCTTGCAGTGTTAGAATTCGTTCACTCGATGGTAGGAGGGTACTTTTTATCATTTAACCAATCGTTGGTATTTGGTTGTGACGTGTGTAATGGCTACAGGGCTAAGTGGTATATTAAACTTTTCCCAAATCCCGTAGGAAGAATAGTAATAACGTCTTTCCCCTTGATAAAATTCACCAAAAATTCTCTTTGTTCCTGCTTTAAGTCCTCAACCTCTGGAATCGTTGACAACACATAATGTATGGCTCTTCGCTGATTGGCTGGTGCCCGAACTCGCACTTCCGGGGTTTTTGCGAACTGTCTAGCATATTCCGTTTCCTGACCTAGTTGCTGGAGAGAAACCTGGCTAATTATCAATAAGAAAGACTTTAAAATCCCACTAAAGCAAAACCAGACTCGTGGACGCTTTTAGTAGAGAACTGTCACTTGTTATTGTTTTTTTGTTTTTGTTTTTTCTGTTAAATTTGTGGTGTCACTTGCTTCACTTTGCTATAATCTGACATATTTACACTGCAATGTTGTAGATTTTCATTAATCTGCACTGTCCCTATTAAATAAATAAATAATGTCCATCTTCAATCCCTCGGCAGGTTGATGTGAAATCTTCTAGAGGACAGGGAAAAGTACAGCCACAATCACACAAAAGTACATAAAACCAGCACACACTATACATACAACACACTCACTGTACACTCACTATATGTACAATTCATTTCTAACAGTTGTGTAAGAGTTAGTGAGAGAAAGTGCGTCAGTTCTTTCATATATAGTTCTAGCTTGCGTGGACAACAAGATTTTCCCATTATTTCCAGCTTCACAGAGCAGCCCTTTTACTGTATCTGGACCAAAGTGGCATTTGTCAGTTTTATGGGGTAAATAAACTGCGTTATAGCGGCGGGCCCTGACCACATCCTCCTCTCATTTCATTCATTCTTTGTCCTTCAGAACGGATGACTTCTTCTGCGCCTCGAGGAAACTGGATGCAGCTTCCACAGAGGCCAAGTTCCTGCAGGACCTTGGGTTTCGCATGCTCAACTGTGGACGCACGGATCTGGTGAAACAGGCCGTGAACCTGCTGGGCCCCGACGGCATCAACAGCATGAATGAGCAGGTAGGTGGACTGTGTAACTTTTTGGTTCTGTCACCTGCTTGTTTCTATGGAGATGTCATTGCTCTGCCTGGAATGTTCCACAGTATGACATTAAACAGTTTCTGCCTTATATTATTCAATTATAGGTGGTTTTATAGCTCAAAACTCAGGGTAGCTGTGAGCAGGGTCACCTCTCCGCAGATCTGTCCTGTAACTTGATCTGGTTTGAGCTGCATGAAGATAGAAAGGTTTAATCCCATCCTGTGAAACATTCCAGACAAAGCAATAACACCTCCATGGAGAAAAACATTTGACGGACCCTCCGCCAGAAAAGTTACACTATGCACCTTTAAGTTATATATTCAGTAACACCATAGACAGTACAAAAAAGTGGACTAAAGGAGTGTGACGTCACCCACAGCGTTCAGCTCCTCTCAAATGCAACTCACAATGCTAACAGTTACAGGAGCAAATTTAGAGCCAGGCTCCATATTTGGAAATCTAACCACGAGTATCGTAGCAACCAGAAGAGCCAGTCATGATTGAGGTCATTAAGTGTGCCCGCCCTTCTCACCGGAAAACAGGAGGGCTTACTTAGCAATGAAACACACTGGCTGTCAATCAAACCTGTTGTTAATGCTAAAGGGAAGGACCTCGGGGAATGAAGGTGTCTGATTGGTTTAGGGACAAAATAGTGAAATGAAAAACTCAGAATCATGTTGAGTGGGTTAATGCAAACATTTTAAGACCAAAAATGACGAGGCTCACAGCAGCAAGTACAGAGAGAGGAGCCACAAGATCCCAATGTAAGTCGATAGAGTCAGAGTCAGAAGGAGCCGGAAGAGCCTCCTGGAGCACTTCTTATTTGGAACGTGGCGGCTAGTGCATTAGTTGTGTCCACTCATATATCCGGTATACGGATATGTAGCATCATATCCATTAAAGGGCCCATATTACGCTGCTTTCTGATCTATGTTATAATGTTGTTTCCTCATCACAAACATATCAGGAGCTGTGTTTTGTTTCATTCACACATGTTTAACACACAAACCTGCATATTGAAATAGGAGTTCTTCTCAGAAAACACTGTTCCAATTTGTGATGTCATGGTAATACAGGAAGTGCTCTATTGTCTTTTTAAATTCCATACACCCTCACTAGAATCATTTGGATCGTTTCAGACCTGGAATTGCCAAACTCTACTAAACAAAAGGTTTTAGTCTGAAAACTTTCTGCTCAACCTTGTGTGTCTACTGTGTTTTTAAACTTCATACACCTTCACTAGAGTAATTTGGATGATTTCAGGCCTGGAATTGCCCATTTCTACACAACTAAAGGTAAAAGGAGCTGTTAACTTGAAAACTACAGTTTCATGACATCACAAGGTGGAACAGAGGAATTTTGATCTTAGGAGATGTAGACAGACTAATAATACAACATAACTCAAACATATGTGAATGAAACAAAACACAACTCCAGGTATGTTTTTGAGGAGGAAACAGCATTAACATGGTTTAAAGCTCACAAGAGTCAAATTTGCGTAATATAAGACCTGAACATTCACATATGCAGTAATTTTGTACACGTGCTTGATGAGACGTCTATTCTGGGTGTCAGGATTATTCAGTTTTTGATCAAGGCAAAATTATACAGGCCACAATATCATCATAAAATATAGGAAATAATTACTGAGAGACTCATTTTGTAGAATAGGTAATCTCAAATGAATCTATGCTCCAAAAGAGAACGCCTACGTGTTATTCATCTGTGTGTTTATTCCAATATTATAATTTATTCATGCCGAAATGTCCATTATGTGAATGAAAGAGAATCAAGGATTTCACTGTTGTTCGGCCATGGTGTTTGCAATAATGAATAAACTTAAAATCACAGCTCGTAACAATCATCAAACTAGACTAGACATCTTTATTATCTGTTCAGTTCTTGTTGCTGTTTCCTGGGGCTCGTATACGGCACTTTTAATGAGTCCACGGATGCAACTGAGCGACATTCCCTGAGGTGTGATGGTAACTGTAGGCTCTGCTCTGTCTGAAGCTCTGTTACTCAAGATAGACTTTAATCTGAGTTTGTTTAACACAATTTGTTTTAGTTGGAACTACAACAGGTGAACTGATTTGCTCTGTTAAGACTAGATTAGATTAGATTAGATTCAACTTTATCGTCATTACACATGTATAAATACAGATAACGAAATCAGACGTGCAAGTGCGATATTTACAGAATGTGGAGTATAGACAATATACAGTATATTACAGTGTAGATTGTAGTGAATATATACAAATAAATGTGGCACTATAGAGGAGGGAATTAGGTATATTATACATTGGGGATATATAAGCAGATGTATTGTAAACAAGTTAAAGGACCTATGTTACAAAAAATGCATTATTATGAGCTTTAAGCCCTTTTATAATGTTGTTACTTCATCAAAAATAAACCTGGAGTTTCATTCACAAATGTTTGAGTAATACTTTATTATTAATCTGTCTAAATCTCCAAATCTTAAAATGCTTTGTTCCACCTTGTGATGTCATGAACCGGTAGTTTTCAAGTACACAGCTACTTTTTATCTTAAATTCAGTAGAAATTGGCAATAGATTTGAGAGGGACACAATTTTCACCGGCATTGTGCAGTCCCGCTCGTGATCGCAACCGCAAAAAAATTTAATTTTCATTCCCGCTCCTGCCTGCATCTGTGATATTTTGTCCCTCTCCCGCCTACATATCCCGCAAGATGGAGACAATCGATTTCTTAAGTTCTATCAAACACAGAGAAGTGGAAAGGACTAAAATGTGCGCTAGATTCGTCCTCAAATTTAGGCTGCTTAAAATGTTTTTATTAATGCCAAATAAAATATCCAGCACAAATGATGTATGATAGGCACACATTAATCATTTGTATCTTTTATTTTACACTCTTATTTAGTTTGAGGGACTGCAGTTGATCATCCCATCCGCCCGCCCCCGCATTGTGCAGTCCCGCTCCCACCCACGCCCTCAATGAGCTTTCAAAATATGTCCCACGCCACACTGTTTTGCATCGGGTCTCTCGGGTGGCAATCCCAGAGCTGAAATCATCCATATTATTCTAGTGAACATGTATGGATTTTAAAAATGCACTGGAGCACTTCCTGTATGACCATATGACATCACAAGGTGGAACAGAGCGTTTCTATTTGACAGAAGAAATCAGCCTAAATATGCAGGTTTGTGTGTTAAACATGTGAGAATGAAACAAAACACAACTCCGGGTCAGTTTATGATGAGGAAACATTATAACATAGATCAGAAAGTAACATAATATGAGCTCTTTAAACATAATTACAGCCACAAGCTTGTTAGAAACCATTTTCTGCTCAGTTTTTCACATCCAGAACAATAATCATCCAGCTAGAACTTCATATTGTAACTTCTTTGCTCTCAGTACATTTCCTGTTGCTATTTCCTTAGGGCCCATATATACAGTATATATATGGCACTTCTAATGAGTCCTCGGATGCAATTGTGCGAGAAATTGAGGCTAGAGAAACAGTCTATGTTAATGGTAGAGGGTCCTGTAGGTGGAGAGGGAAAAGGGTTAAAACCACAGGCTGCAGCGCTCTCTCGTCATACACAGAAAAGCTCACTCTGACGCAGGTTCTGTGTGCAGCAGAATTGTCAAACAGGTCTGCATTATACCGGCAGCATAGCAATTTTTCTTCTTTTTTTTTCTTCTTTAACTATGGAATGAATGATATTTGTGTCTGAAATAAAGAATTAATAAAAAATAACGTAAAAATAGAGAAAATAAAATATATATAAAAAATAATAAAAACAAAAAAATAAACGAATAAAAAAAAGAAACTTAAAAAATACATAAAAATAAATAAATAATAATAAAATTTAAAAAAATAAAATAAATACAATAAAAATAAAACATAAATTTAGAAAACTAATTAAAAAAAAACTAATAAACAAAAAAAAATTGAAACTTAAAAAATACATAAAAAAGAAAGACATTTAAAACAGAAATAAAATAAAACAAAATAATAAAACAAAATAATAAAATAAAATAAAATACAAAAAAAATACAAAAATAAATACAAGAAACAACAACAACAACAACAACAATAACAACAACAACAACAATAATAATAATAATAATAATAATAACCCACTAGACCCTTTAAAATCCTTTGTCATCAATGTACAAAATTTTATAATGGAGGCAACTGGAGGCAAAGTGAAACTGATCATAGTATATTTTCAATGATTAACTGATTAGCAGATCTAAATGCGAATGGTTTTATGACATTATAACAAAATTAACAACCATTTTGAATTTCCAAGGTACACATACTGTATTAGTTCATTTGATTCTCTGTTAAGGATGGAAAAATACAAGTTTCTAACCTCAAAACTGTATTTGAGCTTCACAAAAAGTGTAATTTATGATGAAATGTGTGATATATCTGTAGCTGAAGTGAAAAACTGTAGTGGACTGAACATTTTTGTGAAAATTTGCCTAGTAAAACCTACAAATCCAGAGTTTTCCTTTGTCATCATCTCCTCTTACATGAACAAACAACATGAAACACAACTGTAAATGTTTTTAAGCTGGGCTCTGGTATCACTCACATGCATCTGAGAGGTTTTCATTTGCCAAATTTCCCTTGATTATTCATATTTTGTGAAATTCTATGATTAATCCCAGTTTTCCCATTGAAATCACATTATGTTCCACTTCACTTTTGGCTCTAGCTGCCTCCATCCTGGAATTTAGAAGGTTTTTGTTTACACATTTGTAAAGTGTTTGCAGCTGATGTCCTCAACATTCCCCGAGAGTGCGACGCTAACTAGAGGCTCTGCGATGTTTGAGCCTCTGTTAGATTTTAATCTGAATTTTATTTTAACACAGTCTGACCAGAAAGTTAGTCACCTTCACCTTTTTGTTGAAAGTCAAACGCTTGCATTGATCGCAGACTGCTGAAAATGTTCGGTTTAAATCCATTTTGTATTTTTATTGAGTTTTCAGGCAATCTTAAATCTTTTTTGGGCCATGTTTGCTAATGTGTGGATTGTGTCACCATGGTAACTTCTGAATATTCCACCATAGTGATACACATAGAACCCCCCCCAGCCTGATGACACTGTAAAGTATCAATAACACTCCAAACAGTATCGCTGGGGAACTAGTGCAGGTGTAACTTACTAAAGGAAGATTAATCACAAACAGGGCTTTGTGTTTTTTATATGAGACAGCTCGGGGCAGCCTTAGGGGAGATATTGATTTGGATCTCTTAAAAATGAATTAATAGAGTAAAACTTTTATGAAACATCAACACTTAAGCAGCAGCAGAGATGTGGATCGATATAGACTTTTTTTGTTGGTGTTTGAGCCTCTTATAGCGGCATCGACTGTTCTCACAACATTGTCTAACTTGTGGCTCTTTAGGGGATGACTCCTCTGATGTACGCGTGTGTCCGCGGAGACGAGGCCATGGTGCAGATGCTTCTCGATGCCGGGGCTGATATTAACAGTGAGGTGAGTGCTCATGAACCTGTTATGTTATTTTGGATTTAAAAGAGAAGAGATGTCACGCTATTTTTTAAAAGTCTATGATAGAATGTTGTTTCCTCATCACAGACATACAGTACCTGGTGTTGTATTTTGTTTCATTCACACATGTTTAACACACAAATCCTGCATGTTTAGGCTGAGTTCTTCTCTCGAACTGAAAACACTCTGTTCCACCTTGTGATGTCATGTGGTGATACAAGTACATGTGCTCTACTGTGCTTTTAAACTCTCTTTCACTAGAATCATTTGGATAATTTCAGCTCTGGAATTGCCAGTCTTTACTGAACTAAAGGTAAAAGATAACTGTGAAAACTACCACTTCATGACATCACAAGGGGGAACAGAGCATTTTGAGCTTTGGAAACGTACAGATTAATAATAAAGGGTTACTCAAACATGTGTGAATAAAACAAAATACAACTCCAGGTATGTTTTTGATGAAGAAACAACATTAGAATATGTCTTACAGCAGGGGTCTCCAACCTTTTTCCTCCAGTGAGCTACTTTTACAAAACTAAAATGCCAGAGGGCTACTAGTTTTAGTGATCACAAGTAATTGAGCAAATATAAGAGCTACAGCAAGCCTTAAATGAGATAGTTAGATAGATGACAGATAGTGTACAGAGTTAAGCATCAAAATGATAAATGTTCAATGGTAAAAGTCATTTAATTAATCAAATTTTAGTTATTCAGCACAATATGTGTAATTCAGAAAGCCCTTGGCGAACTACTTAGAAGGGGGTGGAGAGCTACTGGTAGCTCCTGAGCTACAGGTTGGGGACCCCTGGCTTAAAGGGACAGTCCAGAATTTTAGACATAGGACCTCATTTCCTAGCGATCCAGAGTGTTGGAGACATGTGGAGACACTTTTAAAAAAATATTCCATCCATTCCTTGTATTTGCAGAGGTCGCTGGTGCTAGACTAGTGCATGTCAATGGTCATAGTTATCCTGCCACTAAAAACAGTCTTACCCACTCCACAAAACACCCGAAACAAATCTATTATTACACCAGACTGTCGATGTAAATGTCTGTGTTGATAGAATAATCTTAGAAGTAAAACCAACCTTGCATTTGAAGGATTTATGTCCGAGCAGCAGTGAGTTGTACTTCCCGATAGAAAATTTGGCAGTGGCGGACTGATATGTAAGAAAATAGTCCCTCAACATGCGACGATTCATGTGATGCAAGGTTAGTTTTATTTCAGACATTATTCTATCAACACAGACATTCACATCGACAGTCTGGCGTAATAATAGATTTGCTTCGGGTATTTTAAAAAGTGTCTCCACATGTCTCAAACACTCTGGTTAGGGTTAGATCCTATGTCCAGAAATCCGAACTGTCCCTTTAAATGAGAATTCAGTTTGGACATACACACTGTTAAAAGTACATTTAATTCCTCAATGTCTAATGTTAGCCATAAATAACATGTATTTATATATATATAACTGTGCCCCAAAATATTATCTTCTCTGTGTAATCACTATTTCGTAAACAGTAGAAAGAAAAGAAAAGGAGAAAACTGGCCATTATTCATCTGCATTCATTTCACTCTATTACAATAAGGATCATGAGACTGTGGTGTTACTTTGGGGCCCATGTTCTTGATTTAAAGGTGCACGGGGTAATTTTTGCGCCACCTATTTATCACCATGGAGATGTTATTGCTTTGCCTGGAATGGTCCTCGTTATTGCTTTAAACCTTGCATTTATTCAGTCACAGGTGTTGCCCAAAAGTACTTTAAAAATGCATTCTTGCTGTGAGCGTGCAAACCTCTCCCCAAATCCAACTTTTGTGGTGCTGTCATCTGCTCGTCTCCGTGCCGTTGGGTATGTTTAATAATGCCTGCTGTGGAACATCCCAGACAAAGCAATAATCCTGGGCAAAGCAATAACATCTCCAAGCAGAAAAGTTACATGGTGCAGCTTTAAAGGGCCCATCTTGCACTATTTTTCTGTTATAATGTTGTTTCCTCATCTCAAACATTCCTGGATTTGTGTTTTGTTTCGATCACTGAAACACAAATTTACGCTACGTTCGTCTCTCAAACAGAAAACACTCCACCTTGTGATGTCATGTGGTAATACAGGAAGTGCTCCACTGTGTTTTTAAACTCCATAAACCTTTACTAGAATAATTTGGATAATTTCAGCTCTGGGATTGCCAATCTTTACTGAACTAAAGAGCATTTTGAACTTTGGAAATGTACAAACTAATAATAAAGTGTGACTCAAACATGTATGATTGAAACAAAACACTACTGCAGGTCTGTTGTTGATGAGGTAACAACATTATAACATGACTTAAAGCTCACAAGAGTCAGTTTTGCGTAATATCAGTTGTATCTATGTGAGTGGAAGTTTACTCTGGTGAAACACAAGGTCGTTCTCTGAAGTTCTCGTGATCCTTAACTTCATGATTCACTCCAACAACATTACATCACATCGTCATCGTCACTCGTCTCAGATCCTCAGGCCAAAGCACTGAGCAGTTTTAATTATACCACTGTACTTTTATGCACCACGTTTTGAGTTTGAGATTTGCGAAAATAATATAGGCTTTTTTTTTTTTTTAAACCTAACTCTACAGTGTACAAAACCTTGCCTATAGATGTGGCTGATATTGATTTTTTTAAAAAGCAATATGTCTACATTTTCTGACTATTTTAATTTTTTTCTTGCTTTACGGGCTTCATTCACTCCATACCCAGTGATGGTAAACTACTACTTTAGCCACAACTGTCCTGGGGCAGATTGACAAAAGTGGGGCTGCTAATTTGTGCCATTTTCATAGAGGAATGGGGTGAAGTGTCTTGCCTAAAGAAAAAAAGAGCAGGAATCGATCCTCTGACTTTTAAGTCGGGGTCCCCTAAAATTCTAATAATAATCGAACAGCCATAAAATGTAAACAAAAGTGCATTGTAATGAACCTTTTTTGGAAGATTACTCGACATAGTTCTACTATTACATATATATATATATATATATATATATATATATATATATATATATATATATATATATATATTTTTTATTTTTTTTTTTTTTTTTTTTTTTTACTGTTTTTGCAGCCTTTTATTGTATCTGTTTTTGTCTGTATTGAATTTTCTAATTTTGCATATCTCTAAAACTATTATCAGTGTTTTTTACACACTTATACATACAGGGTTCCCAAAAACTTTGACATCATTTTAAAAGCAATTATCTTGAAAACTACTAAGTCTAGCTCAATGAAATGGAACAGTTTAGGTGTTGAACATCATAAATTTATTACGGGATTGAACAATTTGAAATCATTTTAAAAGCAATTATCTTGAAATTTACAAAGTCTAGCTCAATGAAGATGTTGATGTTGACCTACCAGATCCTTTAGCCCAAATTTTTTGTACCAAGTCCAAATTTGTTTGCCAAATTTTGCATTAAAGGTTTGCTGCACAGTCTTGGTTGATTGTGTATGAGCCATAGACTGTATAAAAGAAGTGGACTAAGCGAGTGTGACAGTCACCCACAGCGTTCAGCGCCGCTCAAATGAGGCTCGCGATGCTCATGGTTACGGGAGCAAATTTGGAGCCAGGCTGTGTTATGGATAGGATTTTTTTGACAGACAAAATATCGGGGAAAAAAATCAGGATCATGTAGAGCGGGTTAATATGAACATTTTAAGACCAAAATGACGAGGCTCACTGCAGCAGTTACAGACAAAGGGGCGACAAGATCCTAATATAAGTAAATTGGAGCCAGAGTCAGAAGGAGCCAGAAAAGTCTCCTCTTTGCGCACTTCCTATTTGGCACGTGGCGCCTCGCACATTAGCTATGTCCACTCATATATACGGTCTATGGTGTGAGCAGATTCCAAGACGCAAAGTGACTTCTCTTTGGGACTGAACGGCTCAACCTGAAAACAGAACAAAAATAAAACATTAAATATAAAATCTTGGATCTGTTTCTAAACATTCTGTGAACATTTGAGGTTATTTCCACAAGAATTGCCAGAATTATTGGCCTGCGAAATGATGTAAAATTTTTGGGACACCCTGTATTTCTCACACCTCTAACTGCTGACACTGAACTGAATAAAAGATAAGATCTGAAAGAAGCTATTGTAATATTATGTTGTATTCTAAATAAAAATCCAAAAGCCATCAACACTGAAAACATATCAGAAAAAACGTAAAAGTCTTTGTGCACATGCTCGGCCCACTCAGCTGTCCCATGTCACGCTCACATTTGGCTCAAAGCTCTTTTTCCTCTTTCTCTCCTGAGTCAGAGACCACAGAGCGGCACTGGCTGAGGTCAGAGCAGCTTCAGTGCAGAGCCAGTTTCCGAATAGAGCTTTTGCATGAGTGCTATCTCGACACATCAATCCATTGTGTTCATTATGGAGTGAGATAGTGACAGGGTGTCCTCTTTAGCCCCAGGGTCCCTCTTAATTACTCCTGGTGAAAATCCTAGTCCAACTCTTCTCCTGCAACAGCGAGTGTCTTAGTTTTAACGCGAGGTCTGTCACAATAATTACTATTTCAACTTCAACATACGACAAACAGAACAATATTTTGGGGGCTCAGTGTTTATTGTGTGTACCCATAGACTGTATAAAGAAGTGGACTAATATAACGTCACCTCCGGTCAAATGAAGCTTATCGAGGCTGGTAGTTATTGGTGCAAATTTGGAGCATTTCGAGTTCTATATTTGGAATTCTGACCCCGAGTGTCATAGCAACCAAAGAGCCAATCAGAAGCGAGGCTGTTGAAGATAATGCCCCATCCTCTTAGCAATAATAATAATAATAACAACAACAACAACAGCATTTTTTTTAAATTTATAAAGCACTTTTAAAAAATAAGATTTACAAAGTGCTGTACAAGTAGTCAAGAACAATGCAAAAAGCATAAAAAAGCATACAGAAAACTTCCAAAAAACAGACAATGATGCAAACAATCTCATAACTTATAATAAATAAATGAAAAGAAATACAATAAACAATAAATAAGAAATAAAATCATGCTAAAACCAGTTAAAGGAAGGCCAATCGGTAAAAATGAGTCATAAGAAGTGATTTAAAAGATGATCCTGATGGTGCGAGCCTTACTTCCTCAGGCAGGTTGTTCCAAAGCCGAGGCGCCTGGACTGAGCCTTAGTCCGGAGACTGGACTTTGGAACAGCCACAGGGACCTTCCTGAGGATCTAAGGCTGCAGGAGGGCTCATACGGGGTTAAAAGTTTTGAAATGTAACTTGGTGCAAGACCTAAATGAGCTTTAAAAGTGATCAGTAAAATCTGTCAGTCAAACCTGCTGCGACCTCAGGGAAAGTGGAAAGTTAATTGGTCTGTTATTAATGTTCATATCTTGATTTACAGACAAAACAGCAAAATAAAAACAGCTGGATCATGTAGAAAAGGTTAATACGAAAATTTTAAGACCAAAATGACGACACTCCCAGCAGCAGTAACAGAGAGGTAGTAGTTAATAGTAGCAGCTTTTCAGTGTAAAGTGAACTGGAGTTGATGGAGCCTGAAGCGCCCCCGTGCTCACTTCCCACGCTCACTTTAGCCACAGTTGCCTTGGGGCAGACTGATAGAAGCGAGGCTGCTCATTTGCGCCATTTTGATAGAGGAATGGGAGTGAAGTGTCTTGCCTAAAGACACGGGAGCAGGCATCGATCCTCTGATCTTCAAGTCGGGGGGCCCTAAAATTCTAATAATAATCAGACAGCCACAAGTTTATTTATTTATTTACTTTTTATTGGATCATTTGCGGCAAACAAAAACAAAACATAAACCACGACTACATGGGTCATGACAGGAAGGGTCCGAGCTAAAACAAACCAACCAAACACATGCACAAGTTTGCATTCACAACTCCACTCACTGTACAAATAAGAGACAAAATATAAATTAAAACAAACAAAACTCAATGCACAATTCATCAACTCCAGAGCTTCGTATTCTCCAAAACGCAACAGTCTATACTCTTTTTAAAAGGTTTCTACGGTGTTGAACTGTTTAAAGTCTTTGCGTTTATATTTTACAAACCAAAATCTCTACCAGAAATTTCTTTCTTCCTTGTTCTTCTTCTTCTTATTATTATTATTCCTTTTTCCCCCCGTTTATGGTTGTACAAACGGATAATAATGTTAACGTACAAAATTTAAACAAAAGTGCATTGTAATGAACCTTTTTCTGGAAGATTACTCGGCATAGTTCTATTATTATTTTTGTACTGTTTTTGCAGCCTTAAACAAAGTACTCAATTTTCAAATTTTGCATATCTCCAAAACTCTTATTAGTGTTTAGATATATACTCTACATACAGGGTGTCCCAAAAAATTGCAATCGTTTTAAAAGTAATTATTTTGAAAACTACTAACTCTCGCAGTCTAACAGTTTAGGTGATGAAGATCATAAATTTATTATGGGATTGAACTGTATTTACTTGATTTACGGACAAAATAGCAAAATAAAAACACCAGGATCATGTAGAGAGCTTTAATTAAACCAAAATGACAACGCTCACAGCAGCAGTAACAGAGAGATAATAGTTAATAGTAGCAGTTTTTCAATGTAAAGTGAACTAGAGTCGATGGAGCCTGAAGCCCTCCCATGCTCACTCCCTATTTTGAAAGCGGCGTTAACTATATCCATTTACATATACAGTCTATGTGTGTTCCATTTTTGCACCAGTAGGAAATGTTTTGTTTTTGTTTTTTTTATTTGAGAAGTTCTATGACACTTCATAGATACAAACTATAGTGTTGCATTCTTCTGTTTAGTTACTGAAACTTATTTTTAACCATTTTAACATTTTTTATTGTACATTTTGAATCAGGGGTTTTGCACCAGTGGCAAATATTAGTTTCAGTATTATCGTCCATATTTACTTCACAATTTGGTATCGTGACAGGCCTATTTAACGGCTTCATCTCTCTCTCTTCCCATTTGTCCCTCACCCTTCCCTGTCTCCCCCTCTCCCTGATTCCTCCCCCTTGTGTCCCTCCCCAGGTGCCAAACTCAGTGCACAAGCATCCCTCAGTGTTCCCTGAAACGCGGCAGGCCACGCCCCTCACATTCGCTGTGTTACACGGACATGTGCCTGTGGTGCAGGTACTGATGTCTCCTCACCTGTGACTCTGCCATCGCCTCATTATGCCTCATTGTCATCTTAATTATCATGTCTCAAGATAAAAAAGTTTTCTCTGATCTAAATATATCCAGAGTTGGCTGGTGTAATTATGTGACCAGTGCAAAGTTATTTGGGGAAATGCACTCTTCCTGTCAGTGTGAACTTTTGGCCAAATAGATCAGAGCCAGTTTTAGGAAGTGGGGAGTGGAAAATAGTCTAATTGTTATTGAACTGGCGTGCTAAATGAGTTTGCCCTTTAAGTGATCTGTTCATTGAATTTTGAATCATTACCTTCTAATTGAAAACAGCATCACTCCTCAGTTTAATCTGGACACATTTATCTGTTCCACCTGTCCTGGGGCATTTCAGTATTTAAATATTAAAATATTAAAATTCATTTGCAGATTGAATATTTATGCAAGACATAAACATTCAAACTGTTTGTGTCTAAATGTCAACAGTGAAAAATGAGAATCCCTCATAAATCACCAGACATTTTATCTGACATTTACTGCAGATTTATTTGTGAGTAAAAAAAAGTATGCATGTATAGTACTAATACTTTAAATAGTCTACTTCTGGATTTCATTATGCACCTAAATGTTAGCTGGTGAATTACACTTACATGTGTTCTATATTCTATATTCCCCTCTTCCTTTGTGTGTGTGCATTTGTGCATGGATATATGTGTGTGTGTCACATGTATGTGTGTGTTTGTGTGTGCATTCTTGTGTGTTTGTCATGTTGTGTTGTGTAGCTGCTGCTGGACGCTAAAGCCAACGTGGAGGGCTCCCTACAGGACGGGATGGAGAACTACACAGAGACTCCTCTGCAGCTGGCGGCTGCTGCAGGTAGGCTGAGCCCTGTCTAACTGTACACAGCACTGACAGCACCAGCTGGCCGTCTATAGGCAGCTCATATAACACCTGATATCTGCATGATTACTGGCACAGCTGAGTCATTTTTCTTTGGAGCTGAAATAGAGACAAATAGGAACATGCAAAACAAAGGCTGAGGCTTGCTCCTCTGCATCAGTGTCTGTTTAATCTAATCACACTCTCTCTGTGGGTGTGTAATGGATGATTCTTCCTGCAGGTAACTTTGAGCTGGTGAGTTTGCTGCTGGAGCGGGGGGCCGACCCCATGGTGGGCACCATGTATCGGAATGGCATCTCCACAGCGCCACAGGGAGACATGAACTCCTACAGCCTGGCAGCAGCTCACGGGCACAGGTGAGCTCTGCGGTTATGTAACAAGTGGATAGATATAAATACAAGGAGCGGACTCAACTTTTCCTGCACATTCAGCATTAATCTTGTTTATTCTCCAACACTAATTCTGCAGTGTGTCAATAAAACTGCAGTACAGCTGCTGAATCACTGTGTGCCATTAGATGCTTAGTGCGCCGTGACTGATCAGCTGTTCCTTTTTCTCTGTGGATGTAGATTTCTTCTATTTAATCAAGTTTGCATTATAGAATAATTCACACTTTAAAAATTTAAATGAATGAATCGTTTTTATATTTAACCCAATCCAATTAAAGAAAAGATACTGAGAATAAAGAGGCTTGTTCATGTCCCACTGTAGATTCTCACAAAGCCCCAGTGCTTTGCTTATGAGCAGAATATTTGAAAGTCCCCTCACATAAACAACGATAACTCAATAACTCTGCGTTATGAGGCTCCAGAGAGAATGAATCACATTCACCGCCAAAACAAACCCAGAGATGGCCCACATGGGGCACTGTACAATTGCTTGTTTTTCGCCTATAGACTTTCATATCACACCTCTAATATGGAATAAATCCCCTTTGTTTTGAAAAGAATATGTTTTTTGGGTTTTTTTTGCTGACAATTTAACTGTTTTTGTACCTTACAGAAAGATCTTCTGGAAGTTGCTGTGATTCTGCCATTGCTTCTTTGTGATTCATTGTCACCTTTATTATCATATCTGAAAAGTGCACTGTGTAACTTTTTGTTTGGTGGTCCGTCACCTGCTTGTTTGTATGGATATGTCACTGCTCTGCCTGGAATGTTCCACAGTATGACATTAAAAAGGCTACCTTACATGTATTTAATTACAGGTGGTTTTATGACATTCAACAGACATTCTGTGAGCGGGTTGCCTCTTCACAGACTTTGAACTTTGTCTGGTTTAGTCTCCATGAAAATAAAAAAGAGTAATACCGTACTGTGAAACATTCCAGACGAAGCAATAACATCTCCATGGAGAAAAGCAATTGACGGACCCTCCACTACAAAAGTTAGACAATGAGTGTGAACTTTTGCCCAAACAGATCAGAGCCCAGTTAGAAAGCAGTAGAAAACAGTCTAATTGTTACTGAACTGTCTTATAATTTATGTAACTGAACTGTTTTTGTACTTTATAGAAATATTTTCCGGAAGCTCCTGTCCCACACGGAGAAGGAGAAAGGAGATGTTTTGTCATTGGAGGAGATTCTTGCAGAAGGTTCCGGTTCAGATCTTGAGGGTCGGAGTCCATCTCAAATCGATCTGATCCGAAGTGGAAAAGCTCGACTCAAAGCCCTGAAAGAGGCCATGTACCATAGCTCCGAACATGGTCATGTGGACATCACCATAGACATACGCAGCCTGGGTTAGTCTACATATTGCTGCGTTTCAGATTATATGAAAACATTCTATAGGTCAGGGGTCTCCAGCCTGTAGCTCCTGTGTATCTATATGACCAGTAGCTCTCCACCCCCTTCCAAGTAGCTCACCAAGGGATTTCTGAATCATTAGTACTGTTCATCAGGTGGTTTCACTTCGTAGAAACTGTCTGACCTTGCAGCATTACAATTTGTTTGCTCGACTGTAGGCGGGTACTTTTTTTATTTAACCAATCGCTGCTATTTGGTCGTGTCATATGTAATGCACTGCTAATGGGGCTAATTGGTATATTAAGCTTTTCCCAAATCGCATAGGAAGAAGGACAATAACATCTTTGCCCTTGATAAAATTCACCAAACATTCTCTTTGTTCCTGCTTTAAATCCTCGATCTCAGAAATCGTTGCCAACACAGAATGTCTGACTCTTCGTTGATTGGCTGGTGCCTGAACTCATACTTCCGGGGCTTTTGCAAACCTTCTAGTGTATTCCGATTCCTGACCTAGTCGCTGGAGAGAAATGAAATTAAGTGGAGACACTAGGTGGCGCCAGCCTGGCTAGCCTCTCGCCCTGTTTGCCTGACGAAGGCCTAGTTCCGATACATTGCACAGTTTGTCCCAAAAAAATCTCGCAATTTGCAAGTAAGACGATGTGCGGGATTTTTCTCTATATTAAATGCCTATTACCACTGTAAACTAGGGATGTAACAATAATTGAAATATCGTGATATCGTATCATCAAAAGTCTCACAATAATATCGTTAAATGTCACATTATATCGAATTGTAAGTTCCTTTGCTTAAATGCATTATTCTTTAGTAGGAACAGCTTATTAACATAGGGAACTACATATCCCATGTTTCATTTCAGCGCAGACAACATGAAGAAATATGTTTTTACTTGAATTCTTGAGATTCTGACAGTAATAACTCGCACCAAAAATCTTGTCAAGGTATTTTATAAGCAAAAAAGGTGTCCTATCTAGAATTATATTTACCAATTCAAAATATCGCAATAAATATCGTACCACAAGATGCATATCATGATAATATCGTACTGAGTGATTTGGATATTGTTACATCCCTATTGTAAACATATAATTTCCTGTCTTTGTGCACTAATAAATAAATAATAGTTGTGTAAATGTTTTAGAGGCATGAGACAGTACCCCATCAAAGGCTCTGATATTTACTCAATTTCTTGCGAGCGCTAAAATTAGTCGCTCTCTGGCATTTTTGTTTTGTAAAGGTAGCTCACCTGAGGAAAAAGGTTGGAGACCCTTGCTCTAGGCCAATCACATTTAATACAGATGGAGGGCAGCTAAAATGAAGATTGGTAAAATGCTAGTTTGTGTTGTAATGCAGTGAGTTCATGGCTCCAGGGACAATTATTGAACCTGATCTTTTCTAATAATGTTGGGAACGTCACACTCCCTTGGTCCACTTCTTTATACAGTCTATGGTTTTATATGGTTTTAGTCCACTTCTTTATACAGTCTGTGCTACTGTCTGGTGATCTTTATGCGCATGTGTCCGTCCGTCTGGTCCCAGGTGTTCCGTGGACTCTTCACACTTGGCTGGAGTCTCTTCGCACTTGCTTCCTCCAGCACAGGCGACCTCTGATCCAGGGTCTCCTGAAAGAGTTTAGCTGCATCGAGGAGGACGAGTACACAGAGGAGCTCATTACAGACGGACTGCCTCTTATGTTCCAGATCCTCCGAGCCAGCAAGGTACACCCCCACTCCTAACATCTGCTAACACGCGCATCATGTTATCATCATCTGCTCCCGTGCATCTATGTACATGCCTGCATCTCATTTCTCTTTCCTCGCTTTCTTTTCCTTCATTCCTCTCTTTGATCTTCCGTTTTTCAGCTGTCAATCAGATACGCCATAGTAAGTGGTGTCCCAAAGCTCAGAGGAGGCAAAGGAAGGAAACCACAGAGCAACAACAATTTAGGTACAGGGACAGCAGCAAAGGATGTTTGACACGTAAAGTAATCCTGAAATTGACATTAAAACTAAGGAACTAAGAAAGGTCGTCCCATTCACCCTCAGCTCATGTCCCCTCCAGCCTCTCTCCTCTGCTCCTTCCTCTGCTTTTCTCTCCTCTGTTCCTCTCTCCTCTACTCCTCTTCTCCTCTTTCCTCTGCTCCTTTCTCCGCTGCTTTTCTCTCTTCTCGTTCTTGCTCCTTTCCCCTCTCCCCTCTGCTCTTTTCTCCTTTCTTCTCCTCTTTCATCTGCTCCTCTCTCCTCTGCGTCTCCCTCCTCTCTTCTCTGCTCCTCTCCTCCTTCTCTCTCTTCTCTGCTCCTCTCTTACTTCTCCTCCACTTGTCTCCTTCTCTCCTCCTCTTTCCTCTGCTCTTCTCTCCTCTGCTACTCTTTTTCCTCTCTCCTCTGCCCCTCTCTCCTCTGCTCCTCTCTCCCCTCCTCTGCTCGTCCCTTTCTTCTCCTCCACTCCCCTCCTTCTCTCCTCCTCTTTCCTCTCCTCTTCTCTCCTCTGCTCCTCTCTCTCCTCTCTCCTCTGCTCCTCTTGCCTCTTCTCTTCTCTTCTTTGGTCTTCACTCCTCTGCATCTCCCTCCTCTCTCCTCTTCTTCTCTGCTCCTCTGCTCCTCTTTCCTCTCCTTCTCTGCCGCTCTCCCTCCTTTTTCCTCTGCTCTTCTTCCCTCTTCTCCTTTCTCCCTTCTCCTCCACTCTTCTCCTTCTCTCCTCTCTCCCCTCCTTCTCTGCTCCTCTCTCTCTTTTCCTCCTCTCTCCTCTGCTCCTCTTCTCTTCTTTCTTCTGCTCCTCTCCTCCTCTGTTTCTCTCTCCTCTGCATCTCCCTCCTCTTTCGTCTGCTCTTCTTTCCTCCTCTCCTCTCTCTTCTCCTCTACTGCTTTCCTTCTCTCCTCCTCTCTCCTTTGCTCTTCTCTCCTCTGCCGCTCTCCCTCCTCTTCCCTCTGCTCTTCTTTCCTCTTCTCCTCTCTCTCTTCTCTTCCACTTCTCTCCTTCTCTCCTCCTTTGCTCTTCTATCCTCTGCTCCTCTCCTTCTCTTTCATCTACTCCTCTTCTCCTCCTCTCTCCTCTGCTCCTCTCCTCTCTGTGTCTCCTCCTCTGTGGCACTCCCTCTCCCAGTTCCTGCAGAATCAACGAGAGGAGGAATCAAGCAGAAGGTTGCGGGGAAAGAGAAATGAGATGCGCCCTATACGTGTCTCCTCAAGGCTACATGACCTCAGGCTTTCTATCGACTGGGTCTGGGCTCTGTCAGTCTCTGTGATTGACACTCTCCCATAGGTCTGTTCTATCGCAATATTCTAAAAGCACAACGATTTATGATGGGCCCCCTTGCTTCTGTTTGTCTTTCACTTAATCTCATGACCCCCTCGGTAGCCTATAAATCAGGCCTTAAAGAGCCCGCTTCTGACACCTGTTTTCTCTGCTTTGTGTTGTATTCTATATTATCCCCGAAGCTTTGCTGTCATGTCTGTGATGGAAACAGAAGAGTGGAGTGCGAGGAGAAAACACACTGTCTCACATAAAACACAAGCGCAGAATGATTTGAGTAAAATATGTAATTGCGATTGATTTAAAGGGAGGTTATTTTCTGATCTGTTATACTGTTGTTTCCTACGGAAGCCGAGAGGGGTCACAACAAACGCAAACGCCGCAAATACAAATACAAATGTGACAACACAACAAAAAGCCACAACACACCAAAAAAAGCCATAACGGAAATGACCGCGGGACTCTATTTTAATGCAAACGCCGCAACAAATAGAAACGCCACAACACAAACGCAAATGCCGCAACACATTAAAAAGCCACAACACATCAAAAAGCCACAACGGAAGTGACCGCGGGACCCTATTTTCCGACGGACCGATCAAGCGGCAAGTGAAGAAGAAGAACTACAATGTGAAACGAATAATGATAAAACAATAAATTACTTTTACTTACGTTTCCAACTTCTCTGTTCCTTTACTTTTCACATTGTAGTTCTTCTTCTTCATTTTGCCACTTGATCTGTCCGTCGGAAAATAGAGTCCCGCGGTCACTTCCGTTGTGGCTTTTTGATGTGTTGTGGCATTTGTATTTATTGTGGCGTTTGCATTAAAATAGAGTCTCGTGGTCATTTCCGTTGGACTTTTTTTTGTGTGTTGTGGCTTTTTTTGGTGTGTTGTGGCTTTTTGTTGTGTTGTCGCATTTGCATTTGTTGCGGCATTTGCGTTTGTTGTGACCCGTCTCGGCTTCCGTAGTTTCCTCATCACAAACATACATGGAGTTGTGTTTTGCTTCCTTCACACATCATGCATATTTAAAGGGACAGTCTGGAATTTTGGAGTGTTGGAGACGTGTGGAGACACTTTTTTAAATATTACATCCAGTCCTTGTATTTGCAGAGGTCGCTGGTGCTAGGCTAGTGTATGTCAATGGCCATAGTTATCCTGCCACTAAAAACAGTCTTACCCACTCCACAAAACACCCAAAGTAAATCTATTATTACACCAGACTGTCGATGTGAATGTCTGTGTCGACAGAATCACTTTAGAAATAAAACCAACCTTGCATTTGAAGGATTTGTATCTGTAGGAGCAACAAGTTGTACTTCCTGATAGAAAGCTTGGCAGCAGCGGACTGATATCACCTAACACCTATCTTATCAGAAAAGTAAAATTCTGCTGCTGCTGAGAAAAAAGTCCCTTAACATTCATGCGATGCAAAGTTAGTTTTATTTCAAAATTTATTTTGTCAACACAGACATTTACATGGACAGTCTGGTGTAATAATAAATTTTCTTCAGGTGTTTTGTGGATTGGGTAAGAATGTTTTTAGTTAGCAGGATAACTCTGCAAATACAAGGACTGGATGGAACATTTAAAAAAGTGTTTCCACACGTCTCCAACACTCTGGCTCACTAGGAAATGAGGTCCTATGTCCAAAATTCTGGACTGTCCCTTTAATACTCAAATCATGTTTTAATGCTTTATTGTGTTTTTAAACTCCATACACCTTCACTAGAATCATTTAGATAATTTCAGACCTGGAATTGCCAATCTCAACTGAATTAAAGGTAAAAAAAATAAATAAAAATAGGTTACTGTTAACTTGAAAACTACCATTTCATGACATTGGAATGTAAAATAGAGCATTTTGAGCTTTGGAGATGTAAACAGACTCAAACATGTGTGAATGAAACAATACACAACTCCAAGTATGTTTTTGAGATATAACAGCATTATAATATACCTTAAAACTCACAAGAATCGATTTTCTTTAATATAGGACCTTTAATAATAGGATTTTGTTCATGTCCTGGAGAATTAACATAAAGACTGAAATCTGAACTACAAACAAACACAAGAATCACATTACAGAACATGTTTGCTGCAGGGTTAGCAGTTTGTATGCAAAACAGGGCAAAATTTTGTTATCTGTGGAGAGAATTATTACTTCACATTAGTACTTTGCTAATTACACCCATTCAAATTGTGATTTTGGTTTAATTTCATTGAATCTTGCAGCTTTAGACTCCAGATACTTGAGAATACACCGCGTTGTTGACCTCTCATTCTGAAGTAGCTTTTGGACCACACTTACAGTCACACTCTCTCCTTCAGTGGCTCTTCCTCTGTCAGTCCTCGTCTTCGTCCTGGTTGATGTATGAGGAGGAGGGGGGGCTGACCCTTGTGTCCCTGAAGGGCCCTGAGAGGCTGCTGTCTGTCCCGCCTGGAGGACATCAAAGAAGGAGCTGTTCTTTCTTTATTCTGGGCTCTGCTGACTAAACACAGCACACAGCCGTTCTTCCGTCATGGTTCATGTTTTTATTTTCATTGTTTTGCATATTTTCCTTTTAGTTTGTGTTCTTGGAGTTTTAACCTCTTGTGTTTTGGAGTTTAACTTCCTGTCTGTTGATCATTTTGTTAAGTAAGTGCAGATGCAGGGGCAAAAGATTACTCAAGTATCATACCGACTTTGTTTAAAACGCATTTTAAACACTTTACAGATGGCCAAAGTGCTGTACACAAACACCGGATAGACAAGGACAATCACAGTACAACACAAGACACAATACAAACACAACATAACTACTAAAAAACACAGAAAACAATAAAATACTCAATAACAAACAAATGTACTTGTTAAAATCCAGTGAAAAAAGGTGCGTTTTTAGGAGTGATTTAAAAACAGATACAGACTTCGCCGACTAATTTCTAATGGTAACTGGTAGAGGTTGGGATTCGAGTCAGACTTGAGTCACTCTTGGGACTCGACTTGGACTTGAAGGTCAATGACTTGGGACTTGACTCTGACTTGAGGCCTGTGAAGATTTGAGAAGCACTTTTAAATCAGATTTTTTTCTATTCTGACCATACTGATTCACACTAAAATCTTGTCAAGACATTTAATTACATTTGGAAAAATTTACATTTCTACAACTTTTATATACTCTATAAATACTCAAATATAAATATACTTTGATTTTATAAAGTACAACTTATTTTAAAATTGCAAAAATCTAAGCTATATTTGGTATTTTGGTTTAAACACTTGAAATGACTCGAAGCTCAAAGCAGACGACTTGGACTTGGGCCAGTGACTCGAGACTCGACTTGGACTTGCCTGTCTTTGACTTAGGACTTGACTCAGACTTGAGGCCTGTGAATTGAGAAGCACTTTTAAATCTGAATTTGTTCTATTCTGGTTGTAATGATTCACTCTAAGATCTTGTCAAGACATTTAAAAAGGAAAAATTTGCATTTCTACAATACTTATATACTCTAGAAATACTTATATATACAATTTTTTAAGTACAGTTTATGTTAAATTCATATAAATTGCAAAAATCTAAGTGGTACTTTGGTTTAAAAACTTGAAATGACTTGAAGCTCAAAGCAGACGACTTGGACTTAACTTTATAAGCCAGTGACTCGAGGCTCGACTTGGACTTGCCTGTATTTGACTTGGGACTTGACTTGGACTTGAGTTCAAAGACTTGAGACTTACTTGAGACTTGCAAAATGACGACGTAGTCCCACCTCTGGTAACTGGTTCCACAAGCCGAGGGGCATCAACAGAAAACACACGGTCCCCACAAAGCTCAAGTTTAGTTTTTGAGACAGAAAGTTGGAGCTGGTCTGTAGAACTAAGGATGGATCAGGTCAGCGAGGTAGGAGGGCAGTGGGCCATGCAAACACTTAAAAGTAAATAAAAAAAAGTTTAAAATCAACTCTAAAACACACTGAGAATCAATGGAGAGAGGCTAAAAACTGTGAGATGCTCTCGTCTTTCCGGGTTCCAGTTAAAAGTCGAGCTGCTGAGTATTGGACTCGCTGCAAACGTCAAAGTGCATTTTGGCTGACACCAGCATAAAGTGCATTACAATAATCCAATCTGGTGGTCACAAATGCATGTATGACAGTTTCGAAGCGTTTTGCTGACAAAACTGGAAAAAACTAGAGTCAAAGTATCACATGAAAAAATCTACTCAAGCAAAACTACTGAAGTCCCTGTTTAAAAATGTACTTTAAGAGTAAAAGGATAAAAGGATGTTGTGAGGATTTTTAGAACAATTAAAGCATCAAATGTAGTGATTCTGATAATGAATTTAGCTGATTTTAAATGATTTAATTGATCTCTTAATTTGTTTTAGCCGTTTTGGGGTTTTTGTGCTCAAAGTTGGGACATTAACTCAACTTAAACGGTCTCAAACCATAAAAAAAGTAATTTTACTTTTCAGTCCAGATCTAAAACGTAGTGGAATAGAAAGTACAGATACCTGCTCTCAAATGTAGTGAAGTAAAAGTAAAAAATATCCACTCTAAAATTGACTTAAGCAAAGTACAGATACCTAAAAGTAAACTCAAGTATTGTATTTTTACTTTTGTCATTTGTTACATTCCACCACTGTTCCCTCTGCCCATTGTTGGTCCATTGTCAGTGTCAGTTTTGTATGGAAGATAATTTGTTTCATCAGATTTTGAATTTTAAATACCACTGAATTTCTCACTTTGAATTTTTTAACTCTGAAAAAGATGTTTGAATTATTTTTATTCTGAATTTTAGTTGCTGAAATTTGAAGTTTACTTGTGTGTACTATGTTTTAAATTCAAAATAAAAAATTCACAACAGATATTTTCAAGCCCTCGAATTCAACAGTCAAAGTTCAGGATGTAAAATTCGCAGTGAAAAAAAATTCACAGTAAAGATCCAAGATGCCAAGGCACAAGCAATCGATCCAAAGTGAAAAGATCTAACTTAGTAACCAACAGGAAACAAACAGGAGGTGCAGTGAAGCGATCTGATTGGTCAGAATTAGCCTCATTGTAACCTCATCTCATTGATTTCTTAAGTGTAAACCCCGCCCACAGATGAGAACAGCCAATAGGAAACAGCCTCTGTCCTCCGCGCTCACATGATCGATTGCTTCTGCCTTGGCATCTTTGATTTTTGCTGTGAATTTTACATTCTGAATTTTGACTGTTGAATTTGAGGGCTTGAAAATATCTGTGGTGATTTTTTTTTATTTTATTTTGAATTTAAAACATAGTACACACAAGTAAACTTCACATTTCAGCAACTAAAATTCAGAATAAAAATAATTCAAACATCTTTTGAGTTAAAAAATTCAAAGTGAGAAATTCTGTGGTATTTAATTCAAAATCTGATGGAATAAATTATCTTCCATAGTTTTGTGTTTGGTTTCTTCTGGTCTTTGTTCTAGTTACATTAATCATTTGTGCAGTATAGTCCTTTATTGTGGATCCTCTGTCTTTTTAAATCCTGACATCTTCTCTGCGTGGTGTGTGCGACCGGAGCCGGTGTTTGTGGAGAAATGCAGAAAATCATATCTGTTGTTGAAATAGGTTATTGAATATTTTGTTAATACCTATTTGTTACTGTCACGCTCATGATCACGCTTCACTGATCCAGCGCTCTCTCCGGCTCTGATCTAAAAACACACGCTGAAACACTGTAAGCCTATTATGAAGGTTAATCTCTGAGGTAAAAGCATTTTGATTGAACATGCCATTTGCACAGATACGCCGCTATTCAAGGTCCTATATTTTGAAAAATGTGCCTTACACCTCACGTCGTTACTGCATCAAAAGCATACCTGGAATTGTGTTTTGTTTCATTCACACGTGTTTGAGTAATCCTTTATTATTATATCTCCAAAATGAAGCTGAAAATACCAGCCATTTCCCGTTTCCGTGACTTAAACTGCAATGCCGGACTTTTGCACTGCATACAGACTAAAACAGGGCTAAAACAGGATTAAAACAGGATTAAAACAAGACTAAACCAGGTCTAAACCAGGACTAAACTGGTCTCAGTCCTGATCACCCAACAGTCTATGCGGGTGCACCTCTGGGCCTGTTCTGATACTCCTGGTTCAGTCCTGTTTTGTTCCTGGTTCAGTCCTGGTTTAGTCCTGGTTTAGTCTTGGTTTAGTCCTGTTTTGTTCAGTCCTGGTTCAGTCCTGTTAGTCCTGGTTTAGTCCTGGTTTAGTCCTGGTTCAGTCCTGTTTTAGTCCTGGTTTAGTTCTGGTTTAGTCCTGGTTTAGTCCTGGTTCAATCCTGTTGTTTTTTCATTTTGGAGACAAATAATGAAGAAAACTGTTGTTTTTTCATTTTCTTATTTTTGGTTTTATATTGAAAAACAAATGAACGAATGATAGGTGAATTATTTACCTTTAGTTCTATACAGATTTGCAATTCCAGGGCATCCAAATGATTCTAGTGAAGGTGAAGATGAAGTTTAAAAACACAGTGAAGCCCTTCCTGTTTTTTCACATGTCATCACAAAGTAGAAATTAATGTTTTCTGTTTCTGTCTTAAACATGCACAAAGAAAACATTATAACATAGATGAGAAAAGAGTGTAATATAGTCCCTTAATGTGCAGCTTTTTCTCTGTTTTTTAACAAAAGTAGCCTGTCATTTTAATGTTTTCCACATCTCTGCTCTTCTTTTGTTTTTCTTTGTCAGAATGAGGTGATCAGCCAGCAGCTAGCAGCAATTTTCACCCAGTGTTACGGCCCCTACCCCATCCCCAAACTGGTGGAGATTAAGAGGAAGCAGTCATCACGCTTGGGTGAGGGCTTTTGTTAAAAATAAAGACATTTTAATAATAACACTTTTGAAAATGGCTACTTTAAGAGTCGCTTTATAGAGTAGAGAGATGCCCCCTGGTGGTTACTGCATTAAAATTATAAGTTTGTTCATCACTTCTGTTGCTGTAACTTTATTACTGTTTCAGATCCTCACTTTCTGAACAACAAAGACATGTCTGACGTGACCTTCTTAGTGGAGGGGAAGCCATTTTATGCCCATAAAGTGCTGCTTTTCACAGCCTCTAACAGGTAATTTACTCAATAATATTAACCCAGAGCTATAAACCAGGGCCAGGGCCACACAAGGATGCGAGGGTGAGGGAGGTAACAGTTCATATTGCTCAGAAGTTCTGTTTCTATGAAGTTTGTACAGTAAAAGAGCAAAAGGCTTGTGAGAAACACTGAAATAATAAACTGAAAAAATAAAATATCTGTATTATTTTTTGTGGGGGAAAAACTAACAGGTTCACATCCTTGGTGCCTTCACCAATCCATAAAGTGATTTCCAGCGTCCTTGAGCTGTTTACAGAGTCTCTATTGTTCTGCCATTGCATTTTTCTATTGACACTTTGCAGTCAATGGCTTCATAAAAAGACTGCAGGCTAACAGCCCATCACTCATATGTGATGTGACAACAGGTCCTTAGAGAAAACATCATGTTATTCTAATTTAATCCTGTGTCAGGGAAAGAATTCAATGTATTCTTTTCTAACATGTAAATGTGACATAATTTAGTCTCTTTCAATTTATTTCCCAAGGTTCAAGACTCTTTTAGCCAACAGACCGTGTGGGGAGAACACTTGTATTGAAATCAGCAATGTGAAGTATCATATTTTTCAGGTAAGAGACACAAGTCCAGTGCACTTTTATGCACATTCTTCTTGTTAATCTGATTTTAACCTTGAGTTTTATTGTATGTTCTCAGATGGTTATGCAGTATCTTTACTATGGAGGCACTGAAGCTTTGCACATAAGAAATACTGACGTGATGGAGGTATGGTATACTGTATTTTTTGGACTATAAGTCACTCCAGAGTATAAGTCGCACCAGAAGAAATTAATCAAAAAGAAAAAAACATATAGAAGTCGCACCAGACTATAAGTCACACTTTCTTGGTGGAAATTTATTTTATAAAATCAGAGACCAGGAACCGACATTTCATCTTAAAAGGCAAGTTATAGTAATATAGTATAGTAACAATAGAAGAGAGAACAACAGACTGTTAATGTCACATATGAACAGTTCTTCAGATAACTATAGCAAAAACAACAGAACAAGTTTACCAAACTCTCCATCTCACTCCAAATCACTAAATCCATTGAATTCTTCATCCTCTGTGTCACTTCTGAGCAACTCCGCGACCTCCAGAGGTAAACGGAGCGCCACTTTCTCTTCTGTGTAGCTGTCGTCAGACTCAGCATCAGTTCGAGTTAGAATTATTCTGGCCTTTCTGAATCCCGACAGGATGGTTTCAGTTGTCTTTATGTTTGTTTAAGTTTTAACTTGTCAGTGATACAGAAGTAATGGTGCGATCGACTGACATGAATGGAGACAAGACAGTGGCTCTTTCTCTTTCTTCAGCAGCCGACATGCGCAGTAGAGTGCGAAGTGACAGTGGTAGAGAAGTACACAAGCCTAGAGCCTCTCGCGGCTGTCATTGTGAACATTTTAACATATAAGTCACACCAAAGTATAAGTCGCAGGACCACTCAAACCCTGAAAAAATTATGACTTATAGTCCGAAAAATATGGTAATCAAAGTCCTATATTACAGAAATTTTACTCTTTTGACCTTTAAGCCATGTTATAATGTTGTTACCCCCTCAAAAACATACCCCAAGTTGTTTTGTTTCATTCTCACATGTTTGAGTAACCCTTTATTATTAGTTTGTCTACATTTCCAAAGCTGGAAATCCTTTTAAACATGTGTGAATTAAACAAAACACAACTCCATGTCTGTTTGTGACGAGGAAACAACAGTATGACATAGATCATAAAAAAGCGTAATATGGACTCTTGAAGACAATCTTTCTTTCTCTTCAGTTGACAATGTTAAAGAATAAATCAATATTTTATGACAGCTTTTGAAGTTTTAAGTGAAAACATTGTTTTTCAGCTCCTGTCCGCTGCAAAGTTCTTCCAGCTGGAGGCGCTGCAGAGACACTGTGAGATCATCTGCTCCAAAAACATCAACACTGAGACTTGCGTGGAGCTCTACAACCACACCAAGGTTCGAATGATACGAAACAACTACATTCAGTATTGATACTTTGCAGCCGGTGTCATCAACATTCCCTTTAATCTGAGCTTTATTTTAACACAATTTGACCTGAAAGAGTTGACTTAGCTGGAACTATAACAAGTGAGCTGATTTGTGCCGTTAAATAAGTCTCACACACATAAAATTACAGTCACAAGTTAACTAGACTTCAGCCAGTTAACTAGACTTCAGCCAGCAGTTCTTCAATTAGTCACTCATTGTTTTTGTTGAAAATCAAACTCCTAAACAAGACCATGAATGCTCGTATTCGTCACAGACTCCTGAAAATGTGATGTTTAAATCCATTTTGTATTTTTTGTGAGTTTTCAGACGATCTTAAAATAGACAAATCGTCAGTTTTTGGTATCAATCAATCAATCAATCAAACTTTATTTGTATAGCACTTTTCATACATTTGAAATGTAGCACAAAGTGCTTCACATGCAACAGAAAAATTACAATACAATAATTAAAATCAAGAGCAATGGTAATGTGTACATCGTGTCACCATGGTAACTGCTGAAAATTCTGCCAATAGAGATACAGACTAATGGTGCGTTCTGACTGGGGCATCAAAAAACAAGCTGGACGCCTCTAGTTGGACGCCTTTGCATTTGAGTCTAGATGCTCCCAACGCACGTCTTGAACACCGTGGATGAATGGGAGAAAAATACTTGAAGCGCGTCCAGGGTGTTGATTATGTAATTACACTATGTTAATTAAATCCAGTAATTACTAGTCCCTGATTGATTGACGTGGGGCGGCATCAGAAGTTGAAAATGTCAAAAGTTCAGCAGTTTTAACTTCTGATCCCAACGCCCTGGACACGCATCCAGAGAGTTGACACCTGAATGCACAAGATGCAGCGCGTCAACACCAGATTTGCACTGCACTGATGTCTGAAGATTAGAGCTGTGTATCATAAAGAAGTTGCCGACAAGACACATACCTCAATACATAGGCCACAATACAATACATATCTCGATACATTGAGTGTTCAATTTAATACGATATATTTCAAATCGTTTCGATATGGTTCAATAGAAAATAAAAGCTAAATGATGGTTGTGAAAATAAAAGTCTTTGTTAAACCGCTTCTTGTGCAAAGTTCATATGAAAGAAAAACATTTCAATCCTCAAAACAGCGAAAATGTCAAATGTGTCGCATAAATGAGTTTCTTCTCTGCTCTAAACAAGCAACAAAACTATAGCGCTGTAATAAAATAATTTAGTAAAATATACCAAAAAATACTCTTGGCGATATATCAATACAGCAGCCCCCGATACTGATACTGTATCATCACATTAAATGATACGATATATCAGTATTTCAATATTTTTGCACACCCTCACTGTAGGCACGCCTCAAAAACGCAGGACACCCTAGACGCACATCCACATAGACTTTGCGTGTAAACTGGACAACTTGATGCCCCGGTCTGAACACACTATTAGACTGAGACAAACTTTACTGATCCACAAATGATTTGAACACAGCATCTCACACATCACAGTATATTAATATAAATTATAAATAAGTGGCAGAAATAGCAAGAGACTGGTGAAAAACATGTAAAACAACCTCAGCGTGATGTCACTGCTAAGTATCAACTGTTTTGCTTCGTCAAACACCATAGCTTTTCTCTTTTGACAGTTCTTAGATGCTCCAGACTTGGCGTCCTACATCGAAGGCTTTTTCTTGAAAAACATGGTGATCCTGATCGAGCTGGAGCCGTTCAAACAGCTCCTCTACGACTCTCCCCCCGACAGCCCCGCCTGCGAAATCCTGCAAGATCTGGAGAAGACTCTGGCCATCCGCATCCAGTCCATCCATCTGTCCTCCTCCAAAGGGTCCATAGTCTGAGCTACTGCAGGAAAAAAATAAAAAAAAGATTAAAGGTCCTATATTACGCAAAATTGACTCAAAGACAGACCTGGAGTGTTTTGTTTCATTCACACAGGATTTTTTTTTACCATTCGTATACCATGATTGTTTTGCAAGCCTCAAGTAAGTCTCAAGCTTTTGACCTCAAGTCCGAGTCAAGTCCCAAGTCAAATACAGGCAAGTCCAAGTTGAGTCTCGAGTCACTGGCCCATAAGTCCAAGTCAAGTCCAAGTCATCTGATTTGAGCTTTAAGTCATTTCAATTCTTTAAACCAAAGTACCAAATATAGCTTAGATTTTTGCAATTTATATGAATTTTAAACTAAATTGTACTTAAAAAAATCATAGTATATTTATATATGAGTATTTATAGAGTATGTAAGAGTTATAGAAATGTAAATTTTTCCTTTTTAAATGTTTTGACAAGATCTTAGAGTGAATCATTTCGGTCAGAATAGAAGTAATTCAGATTTAAAAGTGCTTCTCAAGTCTTCTCAAATCACAGGCCTCAAGTCCGGGTCAAGTCCCAAGTCATTGACCTTCAAGTCCAAGCCAAGTCCCAAGTCTTAGTCCATTTTATCAAGTCAAGTCTGAAGTCCTAAAAATAGTCACTCAAGTCTGACTCGAGTCCAAACCACCCACCTCTGCCATTTATTCAGTAGAGATTGGCAGTTCCAGCGCTGAAATCATCCAAATGATTCTAGTAAAGGTGTGTATAGTTTAAAAACACAGTGGAGCACGTCCTGACATCAGAAGGTTGTTAAACATATGTGAATGAAACAAAACACAACTCCAGGTCTGTTTGCGATGAGGAAACAACATTATAACAGATCAGAAAACTGCGTAATATAGACTCTTTAAATTTAACACAACAGATGATCTATTTTGACCTAAAAGAGAGAAATTTTCTGGAACAAATCCTTGTATCTGTGAATCCTGTCATTTACTAATAAGCGCGAAGGGACGCCAGTATCCATCTGAGTTTTACACACGATCATAAACGTATAATAAAACACTAACTCTTTGTACAATACATGTTTAATACAATATAATACGACTGGGTAGAAGATACAGAAAAAAATAAATGTGATAAGCCATGAGAGTCAGTTTTCTAAGCAGACTGATCATTCGCTTGAAATCCATTTTGTAGATATGCAGTAGTCTCTAGCTATGTCACTTAGTTAGCCTTTCTCGTGAAGCCAAACCTGAACATAGCTACTTGTACATAAAAGACAGAAAGATATTATGACTTTTATCTGAACAAATGGAATGACAGATATTATTTTTCTTTCCTCATTGCCGTGTAAATAGTGTTGATAAAAGAGTTATTGATAATGTAAGTTAATGTATATACACACACAGATGTTTCTCATGTGTCCTATTGTTGACTATGGCTTTTAAATTTGAATGTTATATGCATGTTGGGATGTAGGGACGGTTGTATCACGGGGGTTTTCTGACCAAACTACTTCTCACGAGTTTATAGTTATAGAAGAGTACCTTTGTCATCAGCATGGGGGATCTCATTTTGTGCAGCGTAAACACGGTGTCTTCATTATTTTGTGTTAAAGGGTCAAAGCGTGTTTAAAGACGCATTGTGTGACTCGTTGGAAGGTCCGTCAAATGTTTCTCTCCAGGGAGGTGTTATAGCTTTGTCTGGAATGTTTCGCAGTGTGGTTTAAACATTTCTAGCTTCATGGAGACGAAACCAGACCAAGTTACAGGTCAGATCTGCAAAGAGGCGACCCCGCTCACAGTCAGAATGCATGTTTTTCGGTATTTTTGAGCTATAAAACCATCTGTAATTGAATAAATGTAAGGTAGATCTATGTTATTAGGCTCTTTTTTCAGACTAAGAGTTTGTTTTCGTACTTGACAGCTTTGATTGCTCGCTCATGGTCTTCTTCAAAGCGGTCACGTGATGTTGTGACATGTCCGGTCAGCTGATTTATACAAATTTTGGTGCTGTCTTCCTACCGGTGGAGGCAGGACGACAGCGCCATCTGCAGTCCAACTTCCTCAGAATAGTTTCCCAGGTGTGTGAGAGTAAAAAAGCCTCCTCCTCCTCCCGGTTTATAGTCCTGTGCCTGCCGTCCTACCGCCACTGGTAGGAAGACAGCGCCAAAATCTGTATAAGGCTGCGTTTATATAATGACGCAGAAGTGGCGTCACATCTTCACTTTTTATTTTTCTTGTTTAGATGAGCATTTTCGGGAGGAAATCTGAGTGAATAGGGTGATGCAAAAGTGTGTGGAATTCGATTGGGTATACATGCCAGGCGGCTCGGTGGTGACGCTCGGTGGTGACGCTCGGTGGTGACGCTTGGTGGTGATGTATGTTACGTAAACGTGTACGCGACGTGAGCAGATCTGACCAGAGTTTTGCGTCTTGGGCAGTGTAGATGTAAATGCCATGGTGGAGCATATTCAACTTTTCCACTCTGGAGGGTGGTTTTCCTACCGGTAGAGGCAGGACGACAGCGCCATCTGCAGTCCAACTTCCTCAGAATAGTATCCCAGGTGTGTGAGAGTAAAAAAGCCTCCTCGTCCCAGTTTATAGTCCTGTGTCTGCCGTCCTGCCTCCACTGGTAGGAAGACAGAGCCGTTCATATGATGACGGTCTGAACAGAAGGCGCAAAAGTGGCATCGAGTCTTCACTTTTTATTCAGCGTTTAGCCAAGTGTTTTCGGGAGGAAATCTGCGTGCATATGGTGAGGCAAAAGTGTATGAGTTCAATTAAATATACATGCCAGACAGATAGGTGGTGACCCTCTGACCCCCTTTGCTCCTTGGGCATTGTAGACAAAACGCCACAGTGGAGCGTATTCAACTTTTTCACTCTGAAGGGTGGTTTCAGATTTTTTACATTTTAAGCCCCAAAACTCCATCACCACCTAAAAGAAAGGCACTTCAGGTATGAAAACAAACTCTTGGTCTGAAAAAAAATAACCTAATAATATAAATTATCAGAAGACCAAATGAACCTCACTGGACTGTAAGGTAGATCTGTTAAATGTCATACTGTGGAACATTCCAGGCAAAGGAATGAAATATCCATAGAAACAAGCAGGTGATGGACCCCAAATCACAAATTTACATGGTGCACCTTTAAAGATGCATTGTGTAACTTTTTCCAGTGGAGGGTCCGTCAAATGCTTTTCTCCATGGAGATGTTATTGCTTTGTCTAGAATGTTTCACAGTATGGCATTAAAACTTTCTATCTTCATGGAAATCAAACCAGACCAAGTTACAGGTCAGATCTGTGGAGAGGCGATCCCGCTCAGTCAGAATACAGTTTTTTCTTTGTATTTTTGAGCTGTAAAACCACCTGTAATTGAATAAATGTAAGGTTTGAAATGTTTAAAATGTTTAATGTCACACTGTGGAACATTCCAGGCAGAGAAATGGCATATCCATAGAAACAAGCAGGTGACGGACCCCCAAACAAAAAGTTACACAATGCACCTTTCAGTCTCGTATTGGGCAAATTATGCTTTGGGCCTTTTTTGTTTGGGATTGTGAAAACACATGACTTGTATGTGTGACTTTCCTCTATAAAGAACTATGTAAAAATGTGTCTGGATCTTGTATTTATTTATTTATTTATTTTACTATGAGCCCATGTTCTGTCTTCAGTCAAAATTCTTCTGACTTCTGAATTCTGTTTGATCTTAAGTTTATTCTCTATTCTCAAAGTCAGATCTCAGCGGCACGGTAGTTTTAAGTGGCACCCAACTGCACCCGAGCACATCCAGACGTTCCAATAAGAAAAGTACTGCCTGAGAGTTGTGGTATTTTTAAGATTTGAAGCAAAAGATGTCAACGAGGCCTGTCATAATTACTATATTTTGGCTTTGATAGATGAAAACTGTGGCTTAATATTTTTTGTGTGTACAAATTCTGCAATAATGGGTAGATTTTTGTTATATTTTAGTTGGAATATGTTAAGATTTGAGGTGCAGATGGTTGAATAAGTCACTTCTATGGCATCTCGGTACTTTAAATTTCCTATATTACCCAATATACTCCAATCTCCAAAGTTCAGTAGTCTCTTTTCCACCTTGTGATGTCATGAAGCGGTAGTTTTCAAGTTAACAGCTACGTTTTACCTTTTGTTGAATAAAAATCGGCAATTCCAGAGCTGAAAGTATTCAAATGATTCTAGTGAAGGTGTATGGAGTTTTAAAAAGACAGTGAAGTGTTTTCATTTTGAGAGAAGAAGTCTGAGAGAAGATAAACGTGTAAACAAACCAAAACTGTAGATATGTTTGTCATGGGGATACAACATTACAACATAGATCAGAAAATAGCTCAATATGAGCCCTGTAAATCAGTATTTCACAAACCTTTTTTCTGGGGACCCATATTTTAAAAGTCACAAACCTTTGCGACTCAAGTCAATAGACATTATTCGTAAATCACAAAATAAAGGTGGATTTGACCAGTATTGAACATTAATGAGGATGTTTTATTGTTGACTGGGTGATCGTGTCTCTCTGAACAATTAGTATTACTCAAGTTTTAAGCAATGAAAAACAGTAATTGAAGAAGCAGTAAAAGTTACCCATAAGTCCCTATTTGGATATTAAATGTAGACAATTTCGTTCTCTTTTCAACATTCAATTGAACCAGCAATATTGGAACAAATAGTCAATAAAATAATTACAAAAACATTAGAAATTATACAAAACATGTCTTAACATTTCAACATTTCTAATAAGATAGGTGGGCCTGTCTGCAGATCAGTGTCAGAACTGTATATTGCAGACCTACATGCAGATTGTGACAAGGTGACCCCAAAAAATGTAATTAATTAATCATTTAGTAGGCAGTAGTTCAGTTGGTAGAGCATTCACCCACTGATCTGAAGGTTGGCGGTTCGATTCCAGCTCTCGACATAAACATCACAGGTTGAGCGGTCAGATCCACTGACCCACAGGTTGGCTGGTGTGATTCCAGCTCCCACAGATGAATGCTGCTGTTGTGTCCTTGGGCAAGACACTTAACCCACCTTGCCCACAGTGTCTGCGTAGACTGGTGTGTGAATGGGTGAGTGGTTCCTTGTTGTAAAGCGTTTTGAGTGCCTTGAAGGTGGAAAAGCACTATAGAAAAATGTGACCATGACCATTTACCATTATTCATTCGTTTAACACTCAGTGGTGGTAAACTGCTACTGTAGCCACAGCTGCCCTGGGACAGACTGATGGAAGCGAAGCTGCCAATCTGCGCCATTGGCCCCTTCGACCACCACCATCATTCACGCACACACCACTTTTTTACTAAAAATTTCTTGTGACCCACTTGAGGATCTTGACCCAGTCTTTGAGAAACAATGCTTTAAATGATACTGTACATAAAAATAAAAATATATATAGAAATCTTAAATGGTATTATCTTGCTTTATTGTTATTGTAACAGTGGCGTGACATAGTTTCAGTATTAATGTTTATCTTTGTGTACCTCTGTAGGAATATATCGTGCTTCCAAATTGGATATCATGATTTGAAAAGGGTGGAGTGTCGGTGCCAGAGAAAGGGACACAATCAGAAAGGCAGAAATCAAAGAAAAGAGCAGCCCAACATGAGGCCGGCTCCTGCAAAGAACAAGAACAAAGCCAAGAGAACAGCCTTCCCTTGTTCCTCTTGTCCTCACCTTCAGAATCGCCTGTGAAACAGACAGGCTGAACTTTAGATAACAGCATAGCAATAAGGACAGTGGTGGCTAAGAAAATCAAACTGAAAACCTTATATCGAACTATCTATACAAATGTTAAAGGGTAAACGTAAAGCTGCACTGTGTGACTTTTCTGGTGGAGAATCTGTCACTGGCTTGTCACCATGGAGATGTTATTTACTTAAAGGTCCTATATTACACAAAAAGGATTCTCGTGAGCTTTAAATCAAGTTTTCATCAAAAAACACAACTAATACCTGAAGTTGTGTTTTGTTTCATTCACACGTTTATTTATTATTAGTCTGTTTACATCTCCAAAGCTCAGAATGCTTCGTTAGACCTTGTGATGTCATGCAGTGGTAGTTTTCAATTTAACCGCTAAAGATGTAGAGACCTTAGAGCAGGGGTCATCAAACTAAGGCCTGCAGGCCGACCCCGCCCTCCACGCCCCTTTGACCGGCTCCGCAGCTCCTCTGCCCCCCACCACTTGAACTGGCCCCATTAACTAATCCTCAAAAGTCGTCATGGCCTATTTTTTAAAATTACTTTTTGGCATCTTGTATTTTGTTGATTTTTTCAATTAAAAAATTATATTCATATGAAGTATTTATATGTATATTTAAATAATTACATGACATATTTACATTTGCTGCCGAATTTTCGTCACCTGACAAACTCGAGATCAAACAGTAACAGCAGAATTCTGTTGTGCAGTTAAGAACAGCAAAATGGCTTGCATTAAAATATTAAGTTAAGTTAAGTTGACAGAGAGTGCTGAGTTTCCAAAGAACAGTGGACGACCGATTATTTTTTGTTCAGTGTTGGACCATGCAGTTTGTCTGATATGTAAAAAAGTGTGGCAGCTTTCAAAGAATTTAATCTGCATCATCAGGGTCATACAATTCTGTTATACAGCCGACCCGACCTCGGCCCCATCACAGTCAGGAGCGATAATGTGGCTCTCTGAGAAAAAAGTTTGATGACCCCTGCCTTAGACAATTCTTGATCTGAAATTATCCAAATGATTCTAGTGAAGGTGTATGGAGTATAAAACACAGTGGAGCACTTCTTGTATTACCACATGAGATCACAAGGTGGAACAGAGTGTTTTCTGTTTGAGAGAAGATCTCAGCCTAAATATGCAGGTTTGTGTGTTAAACATGTGTGAATGAAACAAAATACAACTCCAGATGTGTTTGTGATGAGGAAATAACATCATAATATAGATCAGAAAATAATGTAATATAGGCTTTTTAATGCTTTCCCTGGAATGTTCTACAGCAGGGGTCACCAAACTAGGAGCCACATTCCCTCCTTCCCTAGGAGCCACATTATCTCTTCTGACTGTGATGGGGGCTGAGGTCGGGTAGGCCGATGAAGGAATACATGGTGTTGAGCAGTCAGTCTGACTTTCATCTGCCAAATCTTCTTTCGTTTGCCCTCGCAAGCTCGCAGATTTTTTGTGGCGTGTTCGATTCTTTGAAAATCTCCACACTTTCAAACTGCATGGTCCTTACAATGAACAAAAAAACAATTGGCCAATCACTATTCCTTGAAAACTCTGAATTCTCTGTCAACTTTTTGTACTTTAACACTCACTATTTTGCTGTCTTTAACTGTACTACAGAACTCTGCACGTGAGTTTTATCTCGAGCTTGTCAGGTGGCAAATTTGGCGGTAAATTTGGTGGCTAATGTAAATACTTCATATAATTATTTAAATGGCCATACAGTCTTGTCAAAGCCTGATCCCGTCAAATCTCAGAAGCTCAGCAGGGCCGGGCCTGGTTACTACTTGAATGGGAGACCACTGGGAAAATCAGGTGACACAGTGAGGCGCCAGTCACAAAAAAACAACAACAAAAAAACCTGTTGTTGTGTGTGTTGTGCGTGTATGAAAGTTGAGTGTGCAGTGTGTGTGAGTGATGGTGGTGGTCAGAGGGGCCGATGGGGCAGATTGGCAGCCTTGCTTCCGTCAGACTGTCCCAGGGCAGCTGTGGCTTTAGTAGTAGCTTATCATCACTGAGTGGAGTGAATGAACAATGAACTGTAAAGCGCTTTGGGTATCTTGAAAGACGCTATATAAATGCAATGATTAATTCATTAATTAAATATAAATACTTCATATAAATATATTTTCTATCTTCTAAAATCATGACGAGTTATTATTTGCCAAAAAGTAATTTAAAAAAAATAGACCATGACAACTTTTGAGGATTGGCTCATAGGTTCAGTTGAAGTGGTGAGGGGAGTGGAGCTGAGGGGCCAGTCAAAGAGGCGTGGAGGGCCGGAGTCAGCCCACGGGCCTTAGTTTGATGACCCCTGTTTTACGGTATTGCATTAAACCAGCCCAAGTTACAGGTCAGATCTGTGCAGAGGCAATCCAGCTCACAGTAAGAATGCATGTTTTTCAAGGTAATTTTGAGCAACTAAAAACACTTGTAATTAATTAATGAACGTCACGTAGATATACAGTATTTAATGGTATTTAACATCTTCATGGTTACGAACAGGTATTTTTGAGGAACAGTGAAAGGAAACAATACAAAATCTTTAAATGCAACATGAAGCTTTACTTATCTCTTATGTGAAAAATATGATAATTTAATACAGGGAGATAAGGCAGAGCAGTGCTGGGCAATAAAGAGATGCATGGCCCAGTCAGCCACTCTTCGCCATTCCATGTTTTTGAATTAGTTTGATAGAAGAGGATGACAGTAAAACACAGCTCCGGTTTGAAAAATGTCGGCGTGTGAGCTCCTACGAATGCAATCAGCCTCCTGAAAAAGAATATGGCGAAACTGGCGAGTATGTAAGTATATATCTCTATTTGCAGTACTGTATGGGCTGTATAGACTTTTCAGCTGATGTCATCAACTTTCCTTCGCGGTGTGATGCAAACT